ATTTTCCATTCTTCTTCTTTTCTCATCCCTACTTATGTCTTTGGTCTACCATGGATACCAGATAATTCTGTATGAAAAGTTATATGTTATCATCCTGTAAGCCTTGTGCAGCTGTAATAGGAGAATTCTATGTAGCTGTGATAAACTATTAGATGGGGCTTGGTTGGTGTTGTTTTTCTTGATTGTCTTTTCATTCTCCTTCCAACCCTTTAAAAAAATATAAGGTGGTCTTTCCCAAGTCAAAAGCATCAAAGACACGTCAAATAAAAAACAAAATGAAATCCTCACTCTCAGGGGGCAGGTGGAGAGGAGGAGCTCATTCCGTTTTTGGGTGCCAGTAGCAGCCTGATTTAACACTCCTCTCCCTACCGGCCTTCACCTCCACTGCAGCCCTTTCAGAAAGAGTCTTGAGGGGTCTCTTGATATGACTAGAAGCGTAAACTTCACAGTACACTTAGATACTTCTAATTGGCTCCCACTGATAACTGTGCTAAAAAAGAGTTGCTAATTGTGCTAAAAAAGAGTTGCTAAGTCCTAGCCCCAAAGAAAAATGGCTCATGGGGCTGATTTTAGACACTGTTGGATGATGAAAAGAAGAGTTCTTATTCATAAGTATTTTATTTTATGAGAACTGTGGTAGGCAGCCTTTAAGATGGTCCTAATGATTCCCAATTTCTTGAGTGCAGACTGGTCCCAGAAACACACATCTACCCTGCAGAATAAGGCAAAGGCGTGAGATTTGGGTTCTGACATTATGCTGCAGAAAGACACTGGCTCTCATCATGTTTGCCCTTGCTTGCTCTCTCATGTTTGCTCTGATGAGAACCAGCTGCCACGTTTTCAGCTGCCCCACGGAGAGACCATGTGACAAGGATGGGGGTAGGCTTTGGATGACAGCCAGGGAGGAACCCAGGCTCTCCATATGACAACGGAAGGAACTGAATCCTGTCAACAGCTATCAGAGTGGGCCTGGAAGTGAACCTTCCCTTGGTGGAGGCTGGAGCTCACTGCAATCTTGAGACTGAAGAATCTGGCAAAGCTGTGAGAAAGCAAATGCTTATTGTCTAAGCCTCTAGGTTTTGGGGTGATTTGTTTCATCATAATAGAAAACTAATACAACAATGAAATGGAAAAAAATATTATAGAAAATATTATAGAAAGCTGAGAGAGTAAAGGGAAAAAAACCATCCATAAGTCTCCCACTCAATCACAATCACTGCTTTAGTTTTTGCATGTTTTATTTCAGTCTGCATCCACATTCACACATATATTTATATTGCAGATAAACATAATGTCAATAAAATTTTGCATTTTATTTTTTTATTTAACATTAAGCATAAGTATTTCCATGTTGCTATAAAAACTTCATTATTATAATTTTTAATGGCTACATAATATACTCTCAAGTGAAAGTACTATAAAATAGCTAATTTCCTCATTCTTTCTGGGTATTACAATTACTTCTTATTTTATTTTCAATGAAAAATAATGTAGCAACCCGCATCTTTGTTTATGTGGTGCTGTCTTTCTTTCTTTTTTTTTTCCTTACCACTTTTAATTTTTCCATGCTGATCTCTTCCTTGGGTACACTTCTCAATTGCTATGATAACTCCTCAGATAATTCTCAGCGGTTGACGGATGGCAAAGTCTGTGTCACTTCATGTCCAAAGCTGTCTTTGCTTTTCTCTTCATTAAGTATTAGTTTAGCCTTTTCTTATGTGTGTGTGTGTGTGTGTGTGTGTGTGTGTGTGTGTGTGTTGTGGTGGGAGTGGGGTGCTGGGATTTGAACATGGGCCTTACACATGCTAGGCAAGGCTATTCATTTTTTACAAAAATATTTTTAGTTGTAGGTGGACACAATATCTTTATTTTCTTTCTTTATTTTTATGTGGTGCTAAGGATTGAACTCAGTGCCTCACAAGTACTAGGCAAGCGCTCTACCACTGAGCCACAACCCCAGCCCAAAGGCTATTCATTTTTGACTGAAAATTGCCATGGCCAAATATATGACAAAATCAAATTTAAGAAAAATTCCATCTCCTTAGAAGATGGTTTAAAAGTTTTTAGGCAACTCGAATATTCAATTGTATATGTGGAAACAAAATCGATAATGTGCATTTATAATATTTAATTTTGTCATTAATTTTGTGATGTAAGTATTTAAAGCAACACATGAAAACCCCCTTTTGAGGCAGACACAGTGGCACAGGCCTGTATTCCCAACAGTTCAGAGAACTGAGGCAGGAGGATCAGGAGTTCAAAGCCAGTCTCAGCAACTTAGTGAGCCCTGTCTCAAAATAAAATATAAAAATAGGCTGTCGATGTGGGTCAGTGGTTAAGCGCTCCTGGGTGTCATCCCTGGAAAGAAAGAAAGAAAGAAAGGAAGGAAGGAAGGAAGGAAGGAAGGAAGGAAGGAAGGAAGGAAGGAAGGAAGGGAGAGAGAAAGAAAGAAAGGAAGAAAGGAAGAAAGAAAGAAAGGCCCCCTTTTAGTTTGAAACACTGCTTTATTTTTTGTTCTTGTTGAATTCTAAAATTGTTTTTATTGTGATAAATTTTATCACATAAAATTAGCTATTCTGACCATTTTTAAGTGTACAATTCAATGGCATTAAGGACATTTACATTATTTTATAACCATCATATCCATCTAATTTCAGAATAGTACTGTCTCTCTTTTGGATTAGTAGTTTTATAAGTGTGTTTATTGGGTCAGAGGAATTGGATAATATATCTTTTGACCTTTGAATTTTAATAATATTTTTATGTTTAAGTACATGAACTATAGGGATTTGAGCCCTGAATATTTGAGCCCTGCATATAATATTTGGGGAAGTTAGCTAACTTCTCTAAGCCTTACACTCCTCTTTTACTAAAAATAAACAAACAAAAAACACCTTTTGGGGGGCTACTACTGCTTCTTACAAATTATAGAGCCCCCAAAAAAGTGTTGTTTTTTTTTTTTAGTTGTAGATGGACACATTGCTTTTATTTTATTTTTTTATTTTTACGGGGTGCCAAGGAACAAACAGGCTGTCAGGCAAGCTCTCTACCACTGAGCTACAGCCCCACCCACTCCTCTTCTCCAAAGCAGGGAAAATAATGACATTTAACAATACTTAATAATAATGGTTTGAAGTTACAAGTGTAAAATACTTAGTAGGGTGTCTAGCACATGGTACACTCATTATTTAATAATTTGTAAACATGTATATGTAAGTACCTTTTTTAAATCATCGTGTTAGTCACATTTCTGTCACCGTGACAAGATAAACAAGCAACTTGAAGCAAAGATTTATTTTGACTCAGCTTCAGAGGTTTCAGCCCACGGTCACTTGGCCCTGTTGCTTTGTGCCTGCTTTGAGGTGGAAGATGATGGCAGAGAGCACTTTGCCCTGTAGTTCCCTGTTGGTATTGGTGAAGGAGACTGGAGGGAGGAGAATATTCCTCTGATTTCTTCTCAGAAGGGTTTCATCAGCTTGCTGTGCCCTGACTCCCAGCTGGCAGCCCCCTGCACACAGTCTCTCTGTCTTCAAGTTACTGTAACTTCACTGTACCCTTGCGTGTACTGAAGGGTGGGAACAATCCAAGGGATAGCACTAGAGTAATGTCCTTTGCTTACTTCCTGTCCTGCTCACACCTTTGAAAGTAGTTTTCTTGCTAAACTCTTCTTCAACTATCCCATCGTGAGTATACCATCTGTTATCTGCCGGGATTCTGTACGGGCTTTATGGTCCCTAACCAGAACTTTTGGGAAAGAAAGAGGAGGCACCTTGCCAAAGAGGGATCTGGCTTTTCACCACTCCAGACTGGGTTTGGCGTATGCTGATTGTAAAGGAAGATGAGTGGTGTTATTACAACAGCTGTGAGTCTTTGAGAAAACTGGATCCATCCTTTTCTGTCAAAGGTGAGACATTTCTATCAACCTCACCAGGTAATGAAATGCATTGGTCTGTGAGCTGTTGTCCAGCTGTCCTGGATGTAGCCTGGGCTCCTGTCAAGAGTGGCCAGGCAATCTAGAGCTGATTTTCCCAGATGTCTGCTACTTCTTACAAATCATAGAGCCCCAAACACCTAAATTGCAATTTTACAATTAAAATTTGTATCAAAGGACTAGGGACCACAATGAATCAAAACACATTTTGCTGTCATATATACCTAATTAAAATAAATAAATTATTAAAAAAAAGGACTAGGGACCAAAGGAAGTCCCATTGCACAGTGTCATTGTATGGAGATACCTAGACTCCAGAAAAGAAGTTGTCCTGGGAACCCCTGCCAAGATCCCATGGTTGTTTTATGGGCAAGACGGCCTTGACATTGGAGTTGGGGCATTGGCTGCTTTGTGTTCTCCCTTGATAATGCTTTATATATTTGATAGGGAAGTCTGACCCCAAAGTCAGGGCCCTGCCAACTGAGAGTCTTTTATTCTGCAGGCAATGGGAAGGTCCAACTCTAACCAAACCTCCAAAACACCAATTGTCCACTTTGCTCTCTTTGCTTGCATGACTGCTTCCAGCTTTCATTTTCTACCCCTCTCTTTGGGTACATTCCTTTTATCATTAGTTCAGTGATTTATATTCACTCATTTACTTAAGCATTTATTGAGTGGGCAGAGCCTGGACTATAGTGGGCAGCTGTGAATGATGAGTACAGACCCCACTGTCCTTGAGCTTACAGTCTAATAGGAGATTCAGATTCACAAAAAAATCATTACACATGTTTATTTCTTGTTTTGCCAACTTCATTGTAGGCAGAACTCATATCTGTTGTTTGGTACCCATTGAGTACAAAGCACATAAGAAACATTAAAATACTTTAGTGTTTCCTGCTAACAGAGCAGACTTTGTTACTTGGCTTGCTTTGGTGTCAAAGGCTTTGGGTCTGGCCTTGGGACAAAAGAAGAAACCATATTGGAAATGGATGCTTGCTTGGCTCTCCCTGTACATGGTATGACAGCCTGCAAATCAGATTGCAGAGCTCCTGATGTCCAATATATTGGGCCAGCTCCCATATTCTAGTGCTTCCTCCTGGAGCTTCGGTGTTTCCTTTACAGAGGAGCCTCCCTATCCCACTATGAAAAACCCCTTTCAATACAGAACAAAGAACATGGAGCTCTGAGGCTAAACTGGTATCAGCTCTCAAGGGCAAGAAACTATTTTTCAAACCATCCTGATTAAGGGAATGGAAAGGAAAGCCTAGGTAAGGCTCTCTGGAATTCATTTGCAAGCTATTATTTTAATTTTCTTACTGAATTCTGGATATTTGTTGCCATTGGCTGAGATATTTTGCTCTCGCTTTTGAGGGAACTAAATTGCCCAGTTATTCCAACCAATATATTTTGAGTTTGGGAATAGTTTGCTTCAGTTACTAATTTAATGTTCAACATTTTTGATCATTATGACTTGAGTTAAAATGAATTTATTAGATGCATCAGGATTTTCATGATGGGATTGGTTCTCTGCAAGGGAACTGAGTAGTTTCTAGTGGAAAATAACCTTTACATTGATCACCATCTGTTGGTAATAATAGGGCTGTGTTCACACAGAACCCCAAAAATTTTAATTAAAGAGAGGTATCAACTATAGAGTTAAAATAACATTCATAACTTTTCTCAAACTTTTGTTTTTATGTAGTTATTTATTTATTTTTTGCCTTTTTTTTTTTTTTTGTCCCAGGGATTGAACCCAGGGGTGCTTTACCACTGAGCCACATCCCAGCCCTTTTATTTTTCATTTTTCATTTTCACAAAGTTGTTTAGGGTCTACCTAAGTTGCTCGGGCTGGTTTTGAACTTGCGATTCTCCTGCCTCAGCCTCCTGAATCACTGGGATTATAGGTGTGTGCCAATGTGCCTGACCTGTACCTTAATTTGTCATTCCTGCCAGCATATCCATCTCATATTTGTGGCAGTAGCTCATGATCTTGGATTCTTTTTCATTTTTAGACCACTGGAACTTCTCTCACTCGTGTCTGCAAGGCCTGAGGTAAAGAGACACTCTGGTACTTACTGTGCTGCAGGACTGGATCTTAACTCTTTCTTCTAGACCTAATTGTGTGCCCCCACCTCACTGAGAATTTCTCCACTAGTGACTCTGCAACTTATTTGTTCATCTTGTTCTCACCTTGTCCTTTGGATTGGAAGTGCATCAGTTTTCTTCTGATTTATGACTTGGCATCTCCAGACTCCCCCATACTACTGATTTCTTCAATGACCAACTCAAGAAATACTCTCCCAAGTTCAATTAGGAAGGGAAATGATGCTCCCACCAGACTTGTTCCAAGCATGAGCTGGATCTCAGATACCCTGTTTTCTAAAAGTAAATTAATTTTGCTAATTAAATGTTGAATTGTGGGAGCTGGTGGGATGGATAGAATCAGAAACCAATCTAGATGTGGGCTTAGTGCTGAATGCTTTAGATAAATCAAAGTCTTTGTAGAATCACAATATACATTGATAGAAAACCTGTAACTGATATTTGCAGCTAGTACATTAATATTTGCAGTTGTTAGGCTCTTTAAATAATTTTTATAACTAAGATAAATTGACTATAACTGTGAACAACATAACTTTCCTTAAAGATTCTCTAGCAGAAGGAGCAAGAATCTTTAAGGTAGAGAAAAAAGTATGAGTATTAAGACTGGGTTCACCTAAGCAGAGTGAGTCAGGAATCTACGACAATCTGTTATCAGTCAGAATTACATCTGGCTGCAAGTATCAGAGGCACAAAATAACAGTGGCTTTACCAAAACGAACCTTTCTTTTTCTTTCATGTAAAAGTCTAGAAATAGGTAGTCTTTAAAGTCATCAAGGAGTCAGGCTCCTATTGTCTTTACAGTATTTAGTGTTCCATCTCAAGGTTCAAAGTGGTCACTGAAGTTTCAGTTGTCACATTTGCCTTCCAGACAAGAAAAAGTATATTATATATGTACTTTTGCTTATATCACATTAGATAATACTTAATCATATGGACATACCCAACTGATAGAGAAGCTGGAAATGTCTTCATATCAGGTTGCTATGTGTCCAGCTAAAAATCAGTAGTAGTAGAAGAAGGAAGGAGTAGATGTTAAGGAATAGACAAATATGGTGTAACTGGGGACTACTGGGCAAATTACCCATGAGCACTGCATGCAAACAAGTCCCTCAAAATCTGTCTTCCAACATTATATAAATAATCTGAAGTATGCATTATATCATTTTTAGAACATTTTTGTAATAAAACCAAAAGCACAACTCTCTAGAATCAAATTGCAAGTTATTACTCTTTTTATTTTAATTTTTTTTCCTGTGGTACTGAGGACTGAATCAGAGGTGCTTTGCCATCAAACTATACTCACAGCCCTTTTATTTTTTTATATTGAGAGAGGGTTTTCCTAAATTGCCCAGGCTGGCCTCAATTATGTGATCCTTCTGCCTCAGCCTCCCCAGTAGCTGGGATTGCAGATGTGTGCTGCTGTGCATGGCTACCAGTTATTACTCTTAATGTGGGAGTTGAGAATGAAGAAGAGTGAGAGAATGCTGGAAATAAAGGACCTCAGAGAAGTAGGCATGAACGGACCTTGGAAGTGTAACAGCATCCTGTCACAGTTTGAGGAATGAGTTTGATCATTGTCAGTGAAGTTACTCTGAATTGCAGATTTGGGACTTGTATTTTGTTCTGATTCTCCTAAACAACATTTCTGTACTTGGGTTCACAAATCAGGGGAACTGAAATTTCAACTCAAAAGCATAACATTTTTTTTTTCTAAAGGAGTATTTTTCTCCTCCAAAATAAGGCAGTTTCAATCCTTTCTTGCCATTTCCTGCAGCAATAATATATTTACCCAGTGGTGCTCTAAGTTAACCTAATACGCTTAACTGGCTATTAAGGAGTGATTTATGTACCTCGAAAAATAGTCTGCTGGTCGGTGTGAAAAAAATCCAAAAGAACTTTGCCTGTGAACCACCAGATGACTCTTCATCATATGCTGGCCTCACTATTCCCTCTGAAGGACCATGACACCTGAACCCCTTGAAGGTGGAACTCTATTTCATGGTATCCCAAGTGCCCAGCCTGTTGTTTCTCATAAAATTGGCTCTCAAAACTATTTGTTGAAATCTCAAGATGGTGCATCAGAGATAAAAACAACAACAACAAAACACATAACAAAAATTAATAGCATAGCTTAGGGTTAGTTCTAGATCATTTCTAATAGCTCTAAGAGAAAAGAAAGTTCAGAGTAAGGTAGTGCTGAGAAGGCTTTTAAGTTTTTATACAAGAAGTGATGAGGGGTAAATATTTACTGTATTTGACAACTGTTCTTCAGTGTGAAAAATCCACAGGTGTAAACCACAACGAAGCAAAGAAAACCTCATCTATCGGAGCCTAAGCATTTTACCAGGCTGGACTGTAGGACACATGATTATTCCTTTTGCTGCTTCTGTTTGCCAGTTCTGCCCATTTGCCAAAATAAAGACGTTCTTTCTCAGGTCAAACCTCAGCTGTGAGAGTAAACTAATGACTTCAGAATGGGAGACAGATGCTTCCTGCAGGAGGATTCCAGGGCAGACAAAGGATATGTAACCAGAACTAGTTACAGAAAATGTGAGACCCAGTGCAAAAGGAAAACATGGGGCCCCTTGTTTAAAAATCAGGGGAATGTTATTAAAGTTTCTAAAACATAAAGCTTTTTTCTCTCTTCCACAGTCATTTTGTTGTTTTTGTTGTTGTTGTATAATGCTGATCTAAGTAAAGAACAATTAAAAATTTAATTATTGAAGTGCTTTTATTTAACCATTCATTTTTATATCATGGGATGCCAATATTAAATGTAAATACATTTTTTCAATGTAAATACAATATTTAATTTGTATTGCAGAATCACTGAAATTTCACAATTTGCATTTTGTCTATACATATGTATTTCATTTTTATTGCAATATTGGAATAGCTACAAAAAACTAACAACTGTGTCTGTTTGTTTTTTTCCCCCAAGAGCTGATGATCAAACCCAGAGTCTCACACATGCCAGGCAAGCCCTGCACCATTGAGCCACATCCCCAAGCCCTAACAACTGGCTTTTATTTTACTTCTTGATACATGCACCTTCTACCAACACTCTGTGGAAGCCCACAGCTCCCATAAAATGCTTATTTTGGATTTGCCTTGAGTCCTGTTGGTCACCGAGGCTGGGTCTACTGGGATACTTCCATCATGTAACATCCATCATACTATATACAAATAGAGTATTTAGAAGGAATGATGGGTACATATATTGTGTGTTTCTGTTTATGCATGCACACCATTGTTCCTTCAGACTTTCACCTACAAAACACAAGTTTAAGATTAAATTATTAGGAGTTTCAAGATGAGGACTGCAGACCAGTAAACCATGCATGCGGCTCTTTGAAACATGGGGTGCTATGTAATGTGCAATTCATACGCTCACGAAGCCAGTCTTGCATAGAACTACAGTGCTACCTTTCTTACTCTTTTTCAGTAATTTGAAAAACCAGTAATCATTGGAAGTACACAAACAAAATAGGCATATGTCAATAGAGTATTTAAAAAAATATTTGATAATAGTTAACTCAAGCCTCAGATGAATCTTAAAATGCTGTAAAATAAATAATAGGAAAAAAAGAAATCTGTAGGCAATGTTTAATTGAGAGCCATCTTAAAGAAGTGCAGCACTTATGTTTTATGGAAAATTAGTGGATTGAATTTTTAGAGAATGAGACACTTTTGTTTATTGCTACAAAACCTTAGAACTTTAAAAAATATAAAGGTGAATAATTGCAGACAGGTATTACTAAAAACTCATTCTGGTAATTTTAATATACTTTGAAAACTTTGTTGCATTTATCTATAACATAACTATTTCTACTTCTAAATCAGGCAGATGATACAAAAGTAAGCAAACACATCAATCTTGTTTTTTCTTTTCATACCCTCAGATTTTGCATTATTTTGTTGATGTGAGACAGCATCATAATCAATCCCAGAGGAAAATCTATCTAAACAATTTCAATTTGAAAGGTTTAAAGAAACAATGATAAATAAGCCATTAATTTGTTTTCATTTTAATGTATCTTTTTATTTATGGTGAAAATTTCAGCTGTATTTTCAAATAATCAATTGAAAATATAAATATATTAGAATGGAAAATTATATGACAAAAGGGCTATGATTAAGCTGCGGGCCTTCTTGTGAATATAAGTGTTGCTGCAAAATATATATTCATGAATAATTGTTTATAATACAATTGACCAAAGGCCAGAACACCCTTGTGCTTAGTGAAATATTCTTTAAAAATAACTTTTGCATGCACACACATACAAGCACACAGAGGTTGCAATTATGCATTAAACATTTCTGAACATATACTCAGGAATATGTAAATTAAGTGGTTTCACATCTCTGGGAGTGAGACTGAGTCTTCAGAGGGAAGACTTTTGGTTTTCTCCTTTCTCCCACGCTCTGTGCCATTTGGATTGTTTTTGCCATAAATGTGATTTTATTTTAATAATTTGAAAAATCTGGCTAATTAAAAACAGAAGTCATTCAGGGAGTGTACAATAACACATTGCAGTCTATAGGACCCACTGAATATGTCTCTACCATGCTTTCCTTTCATTCTCTGAAAAATGTTATTGCAAATTGACCACTTCCAGTTGTAAATATTCAGGTAAATATGATGTGATTTATGAATAAAATGTGGGATAATTAAAGAAAGCTAATTATGTTGATCACCTCAAATAAATTTTTTTTGGTGAGGAAAAATTGAAATTTGTTCTTTAAGCAATTTTGAAATGTGAAATACATTATTAGTTGCTATATTTACCATGCTGTACAATAAATATAAAAATATCCCACCTTTCCCTCTTGTCTAATCCAGTCTTTGTACCTTTTAATCATTATCTCCCTATTCCCCTGTCCCAGCCTCTCTGCTTCCATGAGTTCAATCATTTTAAATTTTTACTCACTAAAATTTTTTCTTATTAACATATGAAAAAATGTTCAACATTATAGCAATAAGGGAAATGCAAATCAAAACTACACTGAGAACCAACCTGAGTCAGAATGGCAGCCATCAAGAATAAACAATAATAAATGGTGGAGAGAATGTGGAGAAAAAGCAACACTTTTACACTATCGGTGGTGTAAATTAGTACAACCACTGTGGAAATTAATATGGAGCTTGCTCAAAGGACTAGGCATGGAACCACCAATGACCCAGCTGTACTACCCCTCAGTATTCATCCTGAAGAAACGAAGTTATCATGCTATATTGATACATGCAAACCCGTGTGTATAGCAGCACAATTCATAATAGCCCAATTATGGAACCAGCTTGGGTATCCAGTAACAGTATAAAGAAAACATAGTATAAAGAAAAATGAAATGTTGTCATTTGCAGGAAAATGGAGGGAATTTGAGACCATTATGTTAAGCAAAATAAGTCAGACTCAAAAGGTCAAGGGTTGTGTGTTTTCTCTCATATGTGGAAGTTATTAAAAAGGAAAAGAAAGGTGGAGGTGGATCTTATGAAAATAAAAAAGGAGTTAAGTAGAGGAAAGGGAGAAGTGTTGAGGAATGATATTGGCTAAATTATGTTGTTATATTGTGTATATATATATAACAAAATGCCATCATTATGTACAACTATAATACATCGATAAAAATGTGGAGGTAGAAAAATTTTTTTATTATTGACATCTAATAGTTGCACATATTTATGGGGTATAGTGCAATAATTGGACACATGTATATAACACATAATAATCAAATCAAGATAATTAGCATTTCCATCTCATTAAAGATTTATCACTTCTTTGTGTTGAGATTTTTTTTTCTTTTCTTTTCTTTTCTTTTTTTTTTTTTGGTACAGGGGATTGAACTTAAGGGCATTCAACCACTGAGCCACATCCCTAGCCTTTTTTTTTTTTTTTGTATTTTATTTAGAGATAGGGTCTCACTGAGTTGCTTAGGACCTCAATAAGTTGCGAGGACTGGCTTTTGAACTAGTGATCCTCCTGCCTCAGCCTCCAGAACCACTAGTATTACAGGCATGTGCCACTGCACCAAGTCTTGTTTGGGGAACTTTTGATGGATTTTTTAAAATTCCCCATGGGAGAGAGAACATGAAATATTTGTTTTTCTGTGCCTGGCTGTTTCACTTAGCAATTGTCCTCCAGGTTCATCCATGTTATTTATAGGACTATCCTTTTAAAGGTCAAATACTATTCCACTGTGTTTATACACACCAAATTTTCTTTATCTAATCATCAGCTGATAGACACTTAAGTTGATTCCATATCTTGGTTATTGTGAATGATAATGGGAGTGCAAATATCTCTTCAACATATTGATTTCAAATCCTTTGTGTAAATACCTAGAGTGAGATTGCTGAATCTTATTTTATTCTTAAATAGGTCCAGGCCACTCTCTAGTCCGAGAGTCCTCTTCAGAGGAGCAAAGACTTGCAAAAGAGGAAGACTTTTGGCAATGACAGGGTTTAATTGTCAACCGTGAAAAAGAGCAGTGTCCATGCACCTTTGCCTGTGATGCATTATGTATAAATGATATTCTCTAATACTCTTAAAACTTTTTTTTAAACAGAAAAATTCAAACATACTCAAAGGTAGTGAGAATAATATAATGAACCCTCACACACTCATCAATCAGCTTCAAATTATTATCATTTCATGTCTAATCTTGTTTTGTTTATACTCCCACCCACATCTCCCTCCCAAGTAAATTAGTTTGGAACATATCCAAGTATATCTTTTCATCCATAAATATTTTACTATGCATTTCTGTAAGGACTGAAAAAAAGCAATAGCAATATAATTGTTACATATTTAAAAACCCAGTAATTCCTTAATATTATCAAATATAAAGTTACAATCTGAATTTCCCTGATTGTTTCATAAATGTGTTTTTTAAAGCTAAGTTTTCTACAGACTTTATTTATTTTTTTTGTAGTACTGGAAATTGAACCCAAGGGTGCTCTATTCTGAGCTACATCCCTAGTCTTGGTTTTGCTTTCTTTTAATTTAAATTTTGAGACAGGGTCTCTTTAAGTTGTCTAGTCTGGCCTTGAACTTGCAATCTTCCTATTTCTGCCTCTGGAGTAGCTCAAATTATAGGCGTTCACCACTGCACCTGACTATAGATTGCCTTTTAATCTTTAGATTACCTGCTTCCTATTTGGGTTCCTTATGTATTTATTTATTTATTTATTTTTCAACATTTGATTCCAAATAGATCCAAGCAAGGTGTTAACATAGTTGATTCAATGATACGTATTATAAATGTACCATTTTCATTTCTTTTCATTTGGGGAAATACAATTTTCATTATTTTAATAGAGCACTCCTTTATTGTGTTTAAAGTTCAGATACACATAACTCTTTGATTTCTCTGGCATATATATATGAAAATACCCTTTGTGTTTCCCAGGACACTACTTTTCAGAAGAACTTTGTAGCCTCCCAACTCCAAAATAAAGATCTCGGAGAAAGTCTTCTGTTTTTTTACATATTAACATTTGTTTAAAAAGAGTCAGAATTCCTTATGCCATATTTGTACATGCACATAACTTAGTCTCACTATTATATATAATTACAATGCATCAATGAAGAATAATTATTTAAAAAATAAATAGATAAAATTTAAAAAGCACCGTTTGCTAACCTCTGCATTAGAATAAGGGAATGCATATATTGGTCATGCCATTCATAGTCATCTCTTTTATATTAAATCTTCT